TATATATATATATATATATATATATATATATATATATATATATAGGGTTGGGTTCACATGAGATCAAGGGGTTTTCGTGAGACCTGTAAGACCAATTTATATTCATTGATCAACTTTATAAGTTAATGATCTAACGTTCTAAAATTGCACGGTGACAATTTTGTGATTATTGAGAAGTCTCGTGGCGTTTATGAATGTTAAGATCTGAAGATTGTATATCTAATATAAGGGTTGAGAATTGGTCTTACGGGTCTCATGAAAAACACTTGGTCTCACATGATCCCAAATATATATATATATATATATATATATATATATATATATATATATATATATAATCCAAAGTTAGAGATGATATATTTTTTTTTGAAAGGCAAAAATGAAGGACAAAGAAGAGATCTTCGGCACGGCCATCACCCTCACCAAGCCAACCAATATATTAAAAAACAGATCCAGCAAGAAGCTAGACACAAGAAGATACAAGAATTCACCACAACAAGCAAGAACAAAAGGAAACAAAACCGAAACACCCCCATACAAAGACCAAGACAAAACCCAAACAAAAGACAGATAAAGAGACTAAACAAGGTAAGGAGAATAAGACCAACTATCCCAATTAAGAAGGAACTTACAATTCCTATTCCCCATCCAAAGCTTGGATAAATTTTGAACCCAAGAAAATGGGTCTTCACCTTTCTTCTTAATTTTCGCACCATCCTCAGCATGAAAAATTTCATTCCGCCACTTCCAAAGTTGCCAAAGTACCACAACGCAAACAAATAAGAAAGTCACTCCAACCTTGCGATGAGTGCCTACTTGATTGATTAGCATTTTAAAATCAGACACCATACTTTAACATACCTAGGTATTGAAGGATCCTCTTAAACCATTAATTAATTCCAAAATTCAGTATATAAACTAATGGTATATATATATATATATATATATATATATATATATATAGGTTCCCAAATGTAGAGTTACAATGAAAATACCTCATCTTGGACATACTGTTGTCCCTTTTTCTCATCAGGCATGCTTTGATCACTCTCATCAGGCAACACTTAGAGAATCAATTAAACAAAGCAAATTCAATGATTTAAGATTCACAAGTAGCATTTTGTTTAATTATTAATATACATTTCTAGCTTAATTCATGTGTTTTGTGCGCAACCCATTAATTTAAGTTCGATTATTTTCAGAATGTAAAATCTTGAATTTCAATTAAAGAGGGATTTACATGAATAGATGAGACGACCCCAGAATCCAAGTTTGCTTCCGCTAAGAAATAAATTAGGTTTTCTCGCTAGCATTTCCAAAGGTCGTTGCAACTCCCATTTTTTGCTTAGGACTGTGCCTCAGAGAGTGTGAGAGAAAGAGGTCAGGGGGGGCTAAAAAAATGAAAATTGAAGAACATTCTAATAATCGTTTATCTGTACGGTATGCACATGTTCATACAAGTAATTGATTGATAATATTTTCTGGTTTCTATGCACACACATGCGCATACCTGAAAAATTACTTACAAATTACTTGTATGCACCTGTGCATAATCTACAGATGAACGATTATTAAGATGTTGCTTAGTTTTTCAATTTTTTTTTGTTTTCCTTGAACCTAACCTTATATTATAATATATATATATATATATATAGAGAGAGAGAGAGAGAGAGAGAGAGAGAGAGAGAGAAAAGAAAGTTTAAATGCAAACACAATATTCATGATGAATATCATATTAATGTATGAATATTAAAGAGTTGTTGTAAATATATGAACATGCATAAATACTCATAATGGATATTACACAAATATATCATTTGACATAAAAAAACATAAAAAACATAAAAAAACATATAAAAACAATATTGAGATAGATGTCAAATAAAAAAGAATGACATTTTTGATGTAATTTGTTTGATTAAAATATTAGTTATTTTTAAGATAATTTAGTTTAAAAATTAAGGGGGTAAAAGTTTTTTTATTTAAAATAAAAATAAAAAATCAAACATGGTAGGTGTAAATCCTAACTTCAATTTTTACCCCAAATCACTTCTTAATTAACGTTTTATATTTTAATCGTTGATTAGTTTTCAAAACTTTGATCAATGGCCAAGATTTGTTTATTAATTAAATAATCATCTTACTGTGCTACATAAAAGTTTCAATTTGGTATGTACGATCCTTTGTTTGAGACTCAGTTGTAAATATTTTCATCATTTTATCTCATATTTGCTACTAAAACGACAATACTTCAAATAATATAACAAACTAATCATATTTGCACCGAACCAACAAGAAATCTTATTAAAACACTCTGACTCTATAAATCATCCTCAAACTCATTAAAACACTAAAACTGATATAAAAGAAGTGCATACGTGTGTGTGTGTGTGTGTATATATATATATAAAGAGAGAAGTCCAAAAAAACCCGAAGTAACTTTCACATTTCGAGTGATTAAGTTTATAAATTTCTTTTAGCAAATTAATTATTGAACTTACGGAAATGAAACAAATAAATCCTTGAACTTTTTTTTTTACTTTTTGACAGACATCCGTTTTAAACATTTGGTTTTCGAAAAACATCTGTTGGTGCCTTTAATTACCCCCAAAATCCGAAAATAAAAACAAAAAGAAGATGAATATATCACGATTTGCAGTGGACATGACCCGATCATTTGGCGAGTGTTCTTGTATATGGATTTCATTCATGATGTTCAGTCAGTGAGTAGTTGTGCTTAGAGCTCACAATATCGGTTGGGGAGTAGAAAAAATTTGTCTTATAAGGGAATGAATACCTTCTTTTTCAGACACATATTAAAATCACAAGTCTAGGTACAAACAAAACGGACAATATCTGAAACGGTTAGTCTGTGATGTTACATGATCATAGCTTCAAATCATGATATATGAGTTTCAAGCTCTACCCATAATTACTCGACGTATGCTTTGATTAATTTCCTTCTGCTACTACTAGGGAAAATACTAGTAAAATTAGGGGTTACGCCAAAATAGAAGTACATGAATTGAAATTATGTCAAAGAAGTAGAACAATTTTATGCATTCATCATTCTCAATCTCTAATGTTACATGTGAGCTTTCAATCATTATTTTTAGGCAAATTAGATCACAAACTGACCTTATTCAAATAAGAAAAGTTTTAGGTTAATTGGGCTAGAATTAATACATTCTAACATCTTGAATTGCCAACTACAAACACACACGCACACACACATTAAATGTTTTGCACCTAAAGAAACACTTTCTTGTAACGCTTGCGAAAGATAGTTGGTCCATATGTGACGTAGAATAGCTCAATGAGCAGAGGAAATTGTATTATGGCAAACAGACCCACTGGAATACTTGTTATTATAACAAGAGGAACTGCAATCCAGTTGCATTTATCTTGAAGCACAAGTGCAAGAGTTGCACTGAATGTGATCATGGTAGCTGCTAATGACACGAACAAGGTGAAAAGTCCACCCATCAATCTCCTTGGCAACACATGAAGGAAGTCTGCTTCTCCATAGCGTGAAGTAAGTATTCCTAAGAACAACAACGCCGAAGTAGCTGAAGTAAATAACGCAGTGGCATCTGATATGAAAAAAAGCATATATGCTATTTTTCTTTCATCTTCTTTTCCACCTGGGAGCGTGAAGACAGCTGCAAAAGCCATTGTCACTATGAGTGTTGCTACAACGCTACTTGCAGATGCAGTGTCTTTCATCCATTCTTTCCCTTCTTTAAGCAATTCTTTATGCTCATCAGTGAAAAGCATTCTAGGAGTTTTCTTGTCATTGTTTTCGCCTCCTCTCAGTGAAGGTTCTACAAAATCTTCAATTTCCTGCATGAATTAAGATACATGTGTGTTAATTGTTATGAAGTAACTACAACATGTAGATCCATCGTTATATTTAAAGAGATTTGAGAAATTACAAGGTCAAATGGGATACTAAAATTTTGAAATACATTTGCCTTTTTAAAAACCTTTCCTTTTGGGAAATTAAGGTGGTAGTTGTTGCCTCTTTAATCAAAAGGGACAATAGTTATTGCCATCACAAGGGTTTATTCTTTATATACCTGGAACCATTGAAGCTCTTGCTGCATTTGCAGAGCTGCACCGGTTACAATATTGAGTCGATGAGGCGGGGCCAACTTTGCAGCAATATGTAATACGTTCTCGTTTGTGTTTTCATCAGTGTGATTTAATACGACTCCCTTGTAGCTATTCATTTCCTTGACAAGATCGTATACTTGTTCTTGGCGTTGCTTGATGGCTTCGTAGAATATATGACGGTGTTCGAAATCGGACCAAGAAACAGACCACATAATGCTTGGGTATGTTAATATACACTCCTTAAGTACCTCATAATTTGCATATTCTACGGCCTTATTAACTGTGGACACAAAGAGCGCTGAAACAATGTCTTGGTCACCCTTTTCTATCACCATTTTGCATATGCAGTTTAAAAGATGATGGCTTTGTTTGTGTGTTAGCTTCAAATCATAGATGCCTTTGATTGGTGAAGCTACAAATACAAATATATGATCCGAAGTTATGTATATAGAGACGATTCATGATAGACAACTAAGATAAATGCATTAACATACCTAGGTATTGGAACATCCTCTTAATCCCTGTTGTAGCAGATGTACGTTTGTAGTTATAGTTGGAAAATTCCTTTGCGGTGTAGGCTGTTTCCTGAGAAATTAACTCCAAAGGATTACACAAAATTATACTACTTTTAATATTGGTGAATTAATATATCTATATATATATATCTATATATATATATATATATATATATATGAAAATTCAAATAAATTCAATTTTCCAACTGAAATTAAATATACTTTTTAATTAAAAACATTAATTAAGATGACAATGATAAAAAAGCAAATTCATTTAAATTATGGTCACGTTTAATTAAATGATTTTTTATTTTAATTTTAAATTAAAAACTTTTACCCCTTAATTTTTAAACTATTAACTTTAAAATTTCTAATATTTTTATCAAACAAATTACATGAAAAACAAGAATTTCATTCTCTTCAATATGACATCTATATCAATATAGTTTTTCCTTTTTTAACCATTTTTTTTTACGTGAAATGTAATATATTACGTTCAGGTGTGTATAACAGCTCGACCCCGTAAGTCGGTATCTGGACATCATATTTTTCAACACTTTCTTCGACGTCATAAGTATATTATAATCTGACATGACATCAGGTTCTTCAACAACCCATCGAGAACGAGCGAGAACCCATCCACTACAAAACAAATTACTCTTACCCATAAAAATCATTCAAAGAAATTTCCTTAGGTGATTACAGACGGATTACCCATAAAATACCAATGGTTCGGTAGATCCGATGTTTTTCAAGAAAATGCCAACGGATTACTCAAAAAATCCACGGGTAATCTATCACTAATTTGAGTTTCCCACCAACCATTTACCCACCAATTTTTGTGACGGTTTTGCGACGAATCACCCATTTAGTGACGGATTTTCCAAGAAAACTTCTGTAGGTAAAAAAATTTCATTTAGTAGTGATCAAGACCAATCGTGAAACTATCAAGACTAATCGAGAATCCATTCATTGACTTGTTGTATATTTAGGTGTGTAAAACCATAACCTACCACCTTCATTTTCTATCAAGAATCTATCAATTGATTTATTATATTTTTATGTGTGGGAAACCATAGCCTACCACATTCAGCCTTTATCGAGACAACGGAACCCAACGACCACCTTCATTTTTCATCAAGAACATATCGATGATTTATTATCTTTTTTGTGTGTAGGAACCATAGCCTACCACATTTAGCTTTTATCGAAATGGATTGGAACCCGTTAAGACCAATCAAGAACCCATCGAGATGGATCGAGAACCTATCGAGACCAATTGAGACTAATCAAGAACTCGTCCATTGACTTGCTGTGTGGTTGTGTATGTAAAATCATAACCTACCACCATCGAAACCGACTAAAAACATATCAATCATTACCTAACATTTTCATCTTTTATCGAGATGGATCAGGAACCTATCGTGACAAATCGCAAACTCATCGAAATCAAACGAGAACCCAATAAAAGAAAAAAAAACTAAAGTATGTGGAATTGAAACTGTAGCATGTTCATAATGAAAACTATAGCATGTTCATAATGAATACGATGTATATGCAAGATGAATATTATGGTGAAAAGTTAATATTTATGATAAATGTCATACTAATATCAATACTAGAGAGTTATTATATACACTTGATAATACATAAATATTCATGATGAATTTTATAGTGAAAATGTATATTTATGATGAATATCATACTGATGCATGAATACCTAAAAGTTGTTGTATACATATTCATCACGAATAATATGTACATTCATGATAAATATTATAGTGAAAATATATATATTAATGATGAATATCATATTGATGTACAAAAACTGAAGAGTTACTCATATACTTGAACACACACACACACATGCACATACATATACATATTCATGACAAACGTTATAGTGAAAATATATATTAATGATGAATATCATATTGATGTACAAAAACTGAAGAGTTACTCATATACTTGAACACACACACACACATGCACATACATATACATATTCATGACAAACGTTATAGTGAAAATATATATTAATGATGAATATCATATTGATGTACAAATACTGAAGAGTTACTGCATACATGTGATCATATATAATATTTGTTTGGTTAAAATATTAGTTATTTTTAAGGTAATTAGTTTAAAAATTAAGGGGGTAAAAGTTCTTTTAATTAAAAAAGAAATTAAAATAAAGTAGACATGTGATTCAAGTCTGAAATTAATTCTATTTTTGCCCCTAATTATTTCTTAATTAACCATTTTTAAACCATTGATTAGTGTTTTTAATTTTGATCATAGTTAGGATTTGTCCTTTGCTTTACAATGGAAAATTGATTTTTATCTGAACCCTAGGGAAGGTTCAAACGAGCATAACTTCATTTTATGAGAAAGCGAGAACATCTTACTATAATTAATCACATGTGATATTATATTCCAACTCATATGATACATATGCAATACTAAATCAGACACGTGGACGACCTTTGAGGCGACCTAGGTTATGAGTCAAGTTACCCGTATACCACTAGTCTCCCTCACATGTATTATAACATGTGATAATGGTGTTATTGATGTGATTCTATAACATGTGATACTAAATCAGAGACGTAGACGACCTTTGGTGCGACCTAGGTTGTAGGCCACGTCGTCCGAACATCACCGTCTATTATCCTATATGATAAGGTTGTTCTCGCATTTTCATAGAATGTAAGTATTCTCGTTTGAATCTTCACACACACACACACACATATATATATATACACACACACATGTATATATGTATATATATATATATATATATATAGAGAGAGAGAGAGAGAGAGAGAGAGAATTAGGTTTAAAAGCGAACGTGCCTATTTAAGAGAATAAGAAAACGGTGAATCAAATGTAATTTTATTCTAACATCACGTACAAAATCACATGTGATTCACGCGACTTTGCCCCACGACCTGAAGACGCGGAAATCATATGTGATTTTGCACGTGATTTGACCGTTTTCGTATTCTCTTAAATAATTAACATTATCGTTTGATCCTCCCTCTATATGTGTGTGTGTGTGTGTGCGGAACTTCTTTTGAGAACTCTCTAAATCTTGAGAACTCTGAGAATCAGTGCATCGTATGCTATTTCATATTATTTTTTCATCTATGGATAGAATTTAATACAGTAATCAACATACATTTGTTTCACAACCTGTTTGTTTCATATGTACTCAGTTCAAAATATGAACCTTTTGGCGTGTTTGTCAAACAAAAAATACACATAAAAGTGGTTCACATTGCATTGTGAACTGAATACATATGAAACAAACATATGTTAAAACAAATATATGTTAATCAGTGCATTAAATACCATACTTAGATAGAAAATCATGTGAAAAAACTTTAACGTACAATTCTCGCGGATCTCATAAATTTTGGAGTTCTCAAAAGATTAAACCCATGCACATACACATGCATGCATGCATACATACATACAAACATACATACATACATACATACATACTAGGACATCACATATATACGCAAACGTGTGAACATGTGATATTGTACGCAATCACATGACACTAGGAAAACAAGGGTGCAAACGCGACTTGACCGATGACCTAGGGCGAAACCAAAGTCGCCCGACTTCTAATTTAGTATCACATGTGATGACCTATAGTATCATATGGGATACGATGTTCCCGCGTTTTTGTAAAATTGTGATGTTCTCATTTGAATTTTATGTGTGTGTATACGGTCAGAAATCCTAAATAAATATAACCGAAATCATGAAATAGCAAACAATACATATTATTCAAACAGAAAAATTTATCGAGATAGAAACAGATTTGTTCATACAACCCCTAGACATGGTAAATAGTGTTTGGAAAGGTTCATGTTAAATCGAAAGCAATTAAGATATGGAGTTATATATATATATATATATATAATACCATATCATGAGCATATCGTTTACTCGTCGTCTTCTCATCAACAGGTGTCATGAGTTTACTACGCTTCTCGTCCACATGCAACGCTTGAAAAGATATAAACCAAATACAGTTAATAACATGGATCTAAATGAAAGTTCACAACTAATTAAATCAATCCTTTCTATTAATCCAAAACACATATATGTTCTATGTTTATAATTATCGAGTAACAAAACCAAACTTAATTTTGAGAGGAAAAATCGTTCTATTTTTTAGTTTTAAAGTGTAGACGTGTTTTGCAAAGAAGAGACAACAACCATTGTATCGAATACCTACCAATTAATCGAAACAAACATGTTATTTATCTACATTAATTAAATAAGAAAAGAAATTAGTTAAAGAGAGATTTACAGTTATAAATGAGACGACGCCAAAATCCAAGCTTTTTTCCGCTATAAAAAAGTTCTGGTTTGCCAGCTAGTACCGACAAAGATTTTTGTGAGTCATATAGTGTGCCGCCTAGGACACCCTTTGAGTACGCTTCGACTAGGTTTAATGCTACGTCTGCATATATATATAACAATAAACAACTTTAGTAATTTCGAAGTTATATGTAATTAAACTTGACGTCTTGCGAGAGTAAAAGTTTTGATGAGAATGGTAAGTTTTGAACCATCAACCCATGGCCCAAGAACTGGTCTGGTCCTGGGCCGGGCGCAAACCCAATTATTTTCTTTTTTCAAAAATCAATTTTGAACGTGTTTGAAGATTTTTTTTGGACAATATCTTATTGAAATACACTTTAAACTTTATAATTGGGTTATTCAAAGACACTTTAAAGATATTCTTCTAAATCTTTTTTACACAAAAAAGTTATAGATGTTTTATAATTACGATTTTCGAGATTTAGAATTGAAACACTTACAAAAACTTGAAAAACGTCACAGAAAACTTGAAAATCTTGATATATAATTCATAAAAACTTATTTTTAAAAAATATCAAGCCTATGTATAACTAGTCTCGGACAGGGCCATTATTTTTTAGAAAAGTGTAAACGGTTGAGGACTGTCGGGCCAGACCCATTTGGTTCTTCGTCTATATATATATATATATAGAGAGAGAGAGAGAGAGAGAGAAGGGGGAAGGTTTGAAACGAAAACACTCTCAAACACGAGAATAGATCTAAACCGTAAGATGAGGGGTGTGTGTGTGTATATATATATATATATATAAAATCTAGTTTGTAAGTTATATATATGTACCGAGGAATCCAGCATCAATGGCGTTAGTAAGTAAAGGGCCGAGAAACAATGTTCGAGTCGGATTTCTTGAATTGAGAGGGTTTAAAAAAACACTCGTCAACGAATACAAGTATACAAGCATTTCCTTCTTCCTTCCGCACCTGGCAGCATAGAGCAACGCCGTAGTTCCATCCCTATTCTTCTGCAAGGCCATCTCTTCAGGTTTGGAAGAATATGTGAGCAATAATATTGCATCAATCATATTCCCAACCTTAGTAGCGTAATGGAGGGCCGTGTCTCCTTCATCGTTCTTTGCTTCCATCGCACAATTGATCAAGTCATGATCATTATTAAGACTTTGAAGCAAATTTCGGACAAAATCATGGGATTGATTCGTTCCGACGGCTATCATTAGCGGCGTCTCCAACCGCCAACTGATTGGCTTGATTTGTAGTTCTGGTTTCTCTTGAAAGATTTTACTTACGAAATCCCATTTATCACGAATCACAGCATTGTAAATTTTGATATCGATTTCTTGGGACTCGTAAACCATTTTGGTTGAGTTGATTTGATTTGGTATATTGAGATATAAAATCCAACTAGGTTGGATGGCTGGCTACTTATAGATTTATTATGAAGTAAGTTACGGATTTGGTCCCTGCGGTTTTAAAGTTTTCTTTGGATGAATTTGTGCAACTTTCTATTACAAAAAAACCCCCTATGTATGCATTTTTGACATGTTTTGGTCCTAGCCAGTAACAATCGCTAAAAAGTATCCGTTAAGTAACGGTATTTTGGTAAATTGCCAATTCTTTTTTCTTATTTTCCCATTTAAATAAACAAAAAAATATGTCATATTAATTATTTTATATTACCCAAAAATTATAACATTTACCCCCTCCTACTATAACAAAACTGATTTTATGAAAGGCCTAGAAATAAACAGCATTCTATAAAAATATTTTATAGGACTTAGTTTATAACATCAACAAAGACAAAGAATAAAACGAAACATTAAAATCGAGATGTATCTCGATTACTCTTTTAGTTTTAAAAAATAGATATAAATATTAGTTTCAAATTCTAGTAAAGTCGTCATTCTTTGATCCTTGTTACATATTATTACAGCTCTTGGTTTCTTTTTGGGTAAATTGAAATCACGTTTATGAAATGCTTATTTAAGTAAGCGTTTATCAAGTCACATTATCTTATCGGATGAATATGGTAAGAACCAAGAATCTTACCCGGTAAGAGTGAGATAAGGACTAAGGGGCCGTTTACCAAACATTTACCCAGTAAGCACTTACGAAGAAAATTCAATGCTATTATTTATTACCGGGTAAGATTTTAGTCAACAAAAACGGTTTTTTTATGCAACAATTTGCGCGGTAAGAGCTAACTGTGGTAAGAGTCATTGCCCTCACTTACCGGGTAATACTCTCGGTCCTTGCCTCGATCTTATCGGATAAGATTTTTGATCTTTATCATATTCATCTGGTAAGGTAATATAATTTGGTAAGCGCTTACCCAAATAAGCATTTGGTAAACGACCCATAACTTTCTAACATTAACCTATAACACATCATTTATTATTTTAGAAAATAAAATAAGAGGGAATTCTTGTTCTTGCATATTTTGAGTTGGAAAGAAAGAAAAAGATGTTACATACTTTTTTCCTTTTCATGTTTCACGAGTTAGAGAGAGAAAAAAAAGCTCATATATTTAAAATATGTTTTTCAGTTAATTCCGTAACTCAACTGGTAAAATATTGATTTTGTTTTTTAAGGGTGTATTTGATATCTAAACAAAACATGACAAAATCAACACATAACGGTCGTTCAACATTTGGTACGACATGGTTTGATGAGACACGATTGGTAAAATAATCAAAATATGTCATTAAAAAGTTTTGTAATTTATTAAATTATTAAAACATTTGGTAAGACATGATTTGCTTACATCTTTAATTATATATTTTGCTTAGTTTTTGTAATTATAATAAAATAAATATTTTTATAACAAAATATATCATTAAAAAGTTTTCGTCATGATGATTGAGATGAAACCAAAATATGAAGCATATTAATTTCCAATTTCTATTTTATACTATTTGTTATTTTTAATATTTATTAAATTACATAAATTAACAAAAATATAGAAAACGTATAAATTAAATAATATTTTGAGGATAATAAAATTATAAAGAGATAAATGTATTTGACGATTTAGAAGAAAATTTAGTTTTTAGTATATTGTTAAACTATAGACTTGTTCCTCCTCGTTCCATGGATGGTGGTGGAACATGCTTGTTCCACTCTGTTTCATATAAAAAGTCATGCCAAACGTTTAACAATCGTCTCTGTTTTATTATGTCATGTTCAGTGTACCAAACGCACCATAAAAGTCACAAGTTCATGTTCTTCAGGACCATTGCAATATTTGTTCTTCAATTATAGCATCATTCAATAAATCCTTTTCTTCCGACATTGAGTTTGCCTTCTTTTTTTTGTCTATTCACTTTTCTGTGCTTCATTGTCACTGCACAAATCAACTTTTCTTTTCTTGAATATGATCGCAAGGAACGACTTTTTTCCTTACTTGAATGATAAGGATCGATTTTTCATTAGACCAACCATAACGTGAGATGGCATGTACACTACTTCATGGCACGTCACCAAGACAATCGTGACATCGGAAAACAAAAACGGCTAGTAACCTCTTATTTGAATGAATCGTGTTGAGATAATTTTTAAATAACAAGACTCAATAAAGTTATATAATTTATTTTGTCATGATTAATTGTTAACTAAATATATTTATTTTAATTAACATAATTGTTTATAATATATAACATAATTATACAATAAATGTAATCAAACATATTTTTATATAAATTAAACATTTTTTTTAATTATATTAGAAAAAGGATAACTCAAATATGAATAATTATATATTTTTTATTAATTTTATCATATATATATATATATATACACACACACACTAGAAGAGTACTCGCGCAATGCAGCGAGAAATATCTCGATTTTTATTTTTATTTTATTATTTTGTCTTTGTCGATGTTATAATACGATTTTATGTGTTTTTAAGAAAAAAGAATGATTTTATTTTTGAATAAAATATAAATTTAAAGATATCATAAAAATTTGAAAAACAATATATCAATGTTAATATCAAATCAACTATTTAAAAGTTCTCATTTTTATGTAATTTCTTTAATTTATTTTTTATTATAATTTAATTTAAGTTTAATAACAAAATAATTTATTTTTGGTTTTATAATATAACATTTTATAAAGATAATAATTAAGTATTATGTTAGATTTCAATGATTATGCTAATTATATTTTAGATTTTTTATATTTAAAATGAGATGTTTATTCTGTATTTGATTATGTTCATCTGCAGTTAGTTACACAAATTCAGATATGGAGCTTTAATAAGTTGTACTTACGCACAATCTACTTGCAATCTTCAGTTTTAAGTAATACGCATTAATAAACAGTACTTTACGCATAAAAAATGGTTTTTAAGAGTTTTTGTCAAATGCTTTATAATATAGTATAGATTAACATAATTGTTTATAATATATAACGATAATTACATAATAAATGTAAAATCAAACATATTTTTATATAAATTAAATATTTTTTTTGAATTATATTAGAAAAAGGATAACTCAAATATGAATAATTATATATTTTTTACATTATTTTACTGTTTTTTCTAAACTTCATCTCATATAAAGTCGTGTTCAAACAAGAATAATATCTATTTAACAGAATAAAAAACGGTTAAATCATATGTGATTTTACACTAATATCATATACAAAATCATATGTAATTTACGGGACCTTGTTCCGCGATCTAGACGCACGGCCAAAGCCACCGGCACACGTTTTTTTACCGTTAAAAGTAAAATCACCTTTTTTTTGAACCACTTTAAATATCATTACAAGCAAGTATCCATTCTTGGTATTATTTGCTTTATGCTTAATTTAATCACTTCACGAACACTACTATTCTTTTCATAAAGGTGATATTACCTTTGTATATTGTACTCTCAACATGTAGCGTACCCCTTTCTGTCACAACATTCTACCATTTTGTGGGACCATTCATACATGTTTTAGACTTTACGTAATTATATACGCTACAACAAAATTGGGTTTATAAGACGTCCTCAATCTCTAAGCATCATAATAGATCGCTTTATAGGACTTAATTAATAGTACCAAAATATAAAGCGTCTTATCTAAAAGTGTTGTAATAAGTTTTTATTACGACGTTATAAAAACTTATTACAACGCCTTTAGATAGAACACTTTATTTTTTTTAGTCCTATAAAGAGGTCTATTAGGACGCTTAGAAATTGGGAGTGTCATATAAACTCGATTTGTTGTAGTGATATGTTTTAACATTTAGCTCAGTTATAATAATTTAGCTTAAGTATAATGTTTTAGGACTTCATTCATTTAACTGATTTGATGATTTTCTATTATAACTTTCGAATATTGTTGGAAAAAGAAATTTCATATGTTACTTAGTCATTTTAGAGCATTTTTATTCTCTTTAATTTGTAAGACTTTTAACATAATATATGATATGATCGTTCATATTTCCTTTATATATTGTGCTCTCAACATGTTGTATACTGGTTCTTTTGGTCCTACTATGCTTTATATATTCCAATCCTCATCATATAAGCATTTCATTAATTATGATAAATATTTTATATTAGGGAACAATCAAAACTTCTATGAAATCACATATTAATCAAATGAAATGGACGGTTGAGATTGAGTTATATTATTTGTACAAATATAAAGAGTTGCATCATAACTTAATTAAATTTTGTCTTGTATCTAATTAATGAATCATTCTCTTGTTCTGCTTGTGAAAGATGCTTGGTCCATATGTGGAGTAGACCAGCTTAATGAGCAAAGGAAACTGTAGCACTCCAAACAGACCCACAGGAATACTTGTTATTACAAGAAGAGGAGCTGCAATCCATGTCACTTTATCTTGAAGCACTAGTGAAAGGGTTGCGCTGAATGCTACCAACGTAGCTGCTAACGACAAGAACAAGAACACAAGTCCGATCGTCATTCGCTTTGGCAACGTGTAAAGGAAGTCATCTGCCGCATAGCGTGAAGTCAGTATCCCTAAGAACATTAACACCGAAGTAGCTGAAGAAAATAAGGCAATGGCATCTGATATGATGAAAAGCATAAAGGCTCCCCTATCCAAGTACACCGGATTTCCTTCGTTTTTGTTTCCACCAGGGACCGCGAAGGCAACTGCAAATGCCATTGTGACTATGAGTGTTGCTACCACGGTACTTGACGATGCCGTGTCTTTCATCCATTCTTGGCCTTCTTTAAGCAAGTCTTTATGCGCATCGGTGAAAACCATTCTAGGAGTTTTCCCCTCTTTGTTGTAAGCATTTTTACATGCGGGTTGTACGAAATTAGTTTCGATTTCCTGCACAAAGTAATAATTAATGTTTGAAATATATATATATATATATATATAGTTGTTGCCCGTTACAAGTGTTGTAAGGGACAACTATTATTGTCACTCGACTTGATTAATCCATTATGATCACCTTGAACCATTGAAGCTCACGTTGCATTTGTAAAGCTGCTCCGTTTATAATATTTAGTCGACGAGCTGGGGCCAACTTTGCAGCAATATGTAACGCGTTCTCTTTTGTATCATGATTAACGTGACTTGCTATAAACGCCTTGTAGCTACTCATTTGGTAGACAAGATTGTATATTTTTTCTCGGCGTTGACTGATGGCTGAATGGAACAAATAGAACCCATCGGAAGCCCAAATAATGCTTGGGTATGCTAATATCACTACACCAAATGTTGTCTTAGACAACAAATGTAAATTACCTATGTTGCTTAAGATACGCTAAGACAACAAAGACTATTATATGTTGCCTAAGTTTCCTCTAATGCAACATATGGTTCTATGTTGCCTAAGTGTGACCTTAGGCAACATATAAATGATTCTATGTTGCCTCCACGTATCCTAGGCAACATATTAGCCTACGTTGCCTTAGTTCAATGTTGGTCACTCATATTTTTTTTTTAAATCCATCAAAGTTTACTTAATCAACATATATTCATATACTATGTTGCCTAAGGTAAAAACATAAATCCAACAAAGTTTACTTAGACAACATATATTCCTATTTCTATGTTGCCTAAGGTAAATATTATAAATTCAACTCAATTTACTTAGGCAACATATATTATTGTTTCTATGTTGCCTAAGGTAAATATTATAAATTCAACTCAATTTACTTAGGCAACATATATTATTGTTTCTATGTTGCCTAAGGTAAACAAATTGATGCTTCCAAGGTTGACAACTCGCATTGCACAAAAGATTTATCACAATTTACTTAGGCAAAATATACTGTAGGTCATATGAGATGGCATGGTAAAAGGGAAACGTCTCCGTAGGACAAAGGGGGGGGGGGTATTTTCAACTTAGATCTTCATTGCTGTTTCTTTCACTATGTAAGTCACATTTCTGCTTGTGTTTCATTCTCTAAAGTTGCTGTTTCTTTCACTCATGTTATCAAATTTGCTTCCGTCTTTGGACTCACCAACTACACCAGCGTCATCAGAGACGAGCACACCTACTAATTGGCCACTTGCTCTAGATATACGTATCAATTGTCGCCGCATCCAAGTGGAACCGACGGAAGAACCGATTACAAAGAAGGCAAGACGAGGAATTATCACCGGAAAGGCGATTAAGAGAGACAACGTTTTAGGTTAAGTTTTTAATTTTGTGTTATTGAACTTGTTGTCTACTTTTAGACTTATTTAGGAAAAAAATTATCTTTCAATTATTGAACTTAATTAGTTTTGTTTGGTTATAAAAGTTGTTTATATAAAACATTTGGTTATTTGTTTGCTTGTTTGAGATTCATTTGTAGAAAGTGTGCAAGAAAAAACTACACCATGGTACACAAAAATCTTAGGCAACAATTAAACAATATAAATGTTGCCTAAAAGAAATTTTATATTAGGTTAATTACAGTTCAAAGGCAACATATCTAAATAGAGTATGTTGTCTAAGCTGATATTTTAAGCAACATATTCAGATAGAGTATGTTGTCTAAGTTGATATGTAAGGCAACATATAAAGATAGAGTATGTTGTCTAAGCTGATAACTYACGCAACATATGTTTTTTGCTTAGGCAACATAACCTTTTGTGTGTTGCCTAAGAAGTCTGCTTAGGCAACATATTCTGTTTGCATATGTTGCCTTGGTTCTTATGCAACATTGAGAAGGCAACACTGCTTAGGCAACACGGGTTTGTTGCCTAAGCCTTAAGCAACATATAAACCCCTCTTAGACAACATTTTTCATTTGTTGCCTAAGTGGCATTTTGAGGTAGTGTATACACTCCTCAATTACCTCAGAAATCCCAGATTCTATTGCTCTAAATATYGTGGATTGTAAGATCGCCCAAACAGCATATTGGTCGTGCCTTCCTATGACAATCGAGCATGAGAGATTTACAAGTTCCTTGGCTTGTCTATGTGTTATTTTCATATCATAGATGTTCTTGATTGGTGAAGCTACATCATCAATTATATATATATATATATATATATGATCCAAAGTTAGAGATGTTATATTGATCGTAAATATATAATTTTCAAATATAATTGCATTAATTAACATACCTAGGTATTGAAGGATCCTCTTAAACCATACTTTAGATGTAGATTTACTGCAGAAAAATTCTGTTGCCACCTTGTAGATAGATTCTTGAGAAATTAATTAATTCCAAAATTCAACATATAAACTAATGGTATATAATATATATATATATATATATATATATATATATATATAGGTTCCCAAATGTAGAGTTACAATGAAAATACCTCATCTTGGACATACTGTTGTCCCTTTTTCTCATCAGGCATGCTTTGATCACTCTCATCAGGCAACACTTAGAGAATCAAAGCAAATTCAATGATTTAAGATTCACAAGTAGCATTTTGTTTAATTATTAATATACATTTCTAGCTTAATTCATGTGTTTTGTGCGCAACCCATTAATTTAAGTTCGATTATTTTCAGAATGTAAAATCTTGAATTTCAATTAAAGAGGGATTTACATGAATAGATGAGACGACCCCAGAATCCAAGTTTGCTTCCGCTAAGAAATAAATTAGGTTTTCTAGCTAGCATTTCCAAAGGTCGTTGCAACTCCCATTTTTTGCGTAGGACTGTGCCTGCGTGCTTTCCGGCTAGTTCCATATATATTACGATAAACAACTTTAGTTTCCAAGCTATATATGTATATATATATATATATATATATATATATATATATATATATATATACCTTTTCGAAAGTGGAGATATGTGTATGTAGAACTTGTAAGTTAAATATGTGTACCGAGGAATTCGCCTTCAATGGCGGGACTAAGGAGATCGCCATGAACCAAACTCTCATTGGGAATCCCTGATGGCGGGGGGTTTAAAACACCCAACTTAGAAAACAAGAATTCAAGCATATCGTTCTTCCTTCCCAACCACGAGGCAAATAACAACGGCGTACCTCCAACATTATTCTTATGTAAGATTGTCTCCGGTTTGCAAGAATATGAAAGCAATAAAGTTGCATCAATCATATTTCCAATCTGAGCAGCATGATGGAGGGCTGTGTCTCCTTCTTTGTCCTCTTCAGCCAGCGCAACACGGATCAAGTCGTCACTAGAAAGACTGGACAGCAAGTTTTTGACAAAATCATGGGACCGATCCGTTCCCACGGCTATCATTAGTGGCGTCTCCAACCTCGAATTGATTGGCTTGGTTCGTAGATCCGGATGTTCTTGAAAGATGTTCCTTACAGAATTCCAATTGTCATCAAACACAGCTTTGTAAATTAGGAGATCAGTGTGCTGATACTCGTAACTCATTCTCGCGGAGTTAAATTGTATAGTGAGATTTCACATTAACTACGCTTGCTACTTATAGATATAATGTGGAGTATATTACGAATTTGATCCTTATGGTTTTAAAGTTATCTTGGAGTTAGTTGCTATAATTTTTGTTACAAAAAAACCCATATTTTGATCCCTGTCACTAACCACCATTAAGAAGCATCCGTTAAATGAAAGGGAATAAATGTTATTGCATATTTTGAGTTGGAAAAGAAAGAAAAAGATATCATATATATATATATATATATATATACTTACACTTTTACTTTTCATGTTTCACGTTTAGAGAGAAAAGAAGTTGATAGTTCTTATAGTGAAGTATATATTTTAGTTGATCTTTAAAAGATAGCTCAATTGATGAAATATAGGTTTTAGCTTTTGAAATATTAGCGGTTTAAGTCCTTACGACAATTGATTTGTTTGTGTCGCAGTTAACTTTGATGTTCCATCAGATAATCAAATCGAGCAATGCGTAATTGAACCAAATCCCTGTATCATTGGATGACGTTTAAAATTTCCAAAATAAGGTCATCTTGCTAATTGAACCCCCCGATCTATCACTTTCACATATGCTTACTTGTGTCAAAATCAAACTTTTCTTTCTTACATTTTCGTGCTATAATTTGATCACCCACGAAGAGTTCCAGATAACATTCTTCAATAAATCCTTTTTCTTCCAACATAAACTATGTCTTTTTTTTTAACCACAATTGGTTTGAGCTTGGCTCTAAAGGTCAAAAGTATCAGGAGATCTCACGTTCATATCCAAAGAAGAATAAAAATCCCCTTATGACCACGAAAGTTCAAATGCAACGACTCTGGGCTATCTGCAAAGCAGGTGGTCGCCCTGGGATTAGTCGACTCGCATAGCGGGTTGGATATACAGGTTAATCAAAAAAAACTATGTCTTTTTCTTTGCTTCATTATCACTACACAAATCAACTTTGCTTTAATTAAATGTCGATGGAAGGATTGACTTTTCTCTTTTTTCTTTACTCTAATATAATTGTAGGGATCAACTTTTTTTATACTACCAAAGGGTCTGTCGTAGTCTTTGACTTACTAGGAGGTCAAGGGTTCAAACATTATCGAAGATGAAGATGATGTGTACGTTTATTTATTATATTTTTCGTATGTAAATATTATATAAATTAAAAAAAATGAACTTTTTTTCTACACTCTATTAATATTATTGTAAGGAATAAGGATTGAGTTTTCATTAGGGCAACGATAATTATGTGAGATGACGTACCGCTGCATGCCACGTCACCTAGGTAAACCGCGTCATTCTTTCATTTGGATAAACCGTGTTGAAATGACTTTTAATTTATTTTGTGTTATTAAATAACAATAAATTTTTATTAATTATGTTTATTTATCTACTAAAAATAGTTTCTGTATAAACATCATTAATTTGAAAACATTATAAATATAAAATTAAACATATTTTTGTATATATTAAAAAAATTTCATTAAACATGTTTAAAGAAAAGGATAACTCAATTATGAAAAGCAAGTGTTTCACTATGTCATTTTATGAAGTGAATATATATTTATTCTATATTATAAAATATTTGACAAAAATTCTTAAAAACTAATTTTTATGTATAATAAAATACTGTTTGTTGATGTATATTACTTAAAATTTAAGATTATAAGTAAATAATGCATAAATACAACTTATTAAAATTGTATTTGTATAACTAACTGCAAATAAATATAATCAAATACTGGATAAACATTTCATTTTGAATATAAAAAAT